TTTGGGGGGGGGGGGGGATTGTATTTGTTCTGCAGCTGAATATTTTGGACTTCCACTGGTACCTCCCTATCTTGAAGTTGAGAAGGCAAAAGGCAGAGATTTTCGTAAGGGTGTGAATTTTGCAGTTGTGGGATCTCCAACACTGGATTTGGCCTTTTATGAAGAAAGAGGAATCTTCAACCCTATCACAAATGTCTCTCTAAAAGTTCAGTTGGGTTGGTTCAAAGAGATATTGCCTTCTCTCTGCCACACATTCTCAAGTAAGTCCAACAAGCACACACACACACCCCCACAACCACCCCACTCCCAAACCCACCTTGCCCACACACACATTCATGTCTATTACTCTGTACATATGCTTCCTTCCATACGTGGCTAGGATAAGACAATGTCAAATCAATTTTCTATACCAAATTGAACGTTATTATAGAATAAAGGTGAAGTTACAACTCAATTCGATTAGTTAACAATATGAGATTTTTTGAAGTCAACCTTCATTTTTATTGTGTGGAAAACTTGACCCACAAGTGTATTTAATATCCAACATAATAAATAAAAATTTAATTTTAAAAGGGGGTGTAGAATTGGACTTATTGTTCTTCTTAGATTTTTGGGTTCTGCTGTTGAACTTGAATAAATAATTAAAAAGCAGTTTGATTTTGTGTGTGCCTTTATAAAAAAGAAGAAGATACACTCATTTAGAAATTAGGCCATTCTAGAGGTAATGTGTGGAATTGGAGTTATCGACTTTAATGGGTCCAGTGTGCTGCTGTTGGTGCTGGTTTAGTAGTTAAAAAATTGTGGCTTGATTTTGAGTGTCTTTCATGGAACTTGAATTTTAAATTAAAAAAAAAAAGTGAAACAAACAAAAATCATTGTTGCAGTCTCACATCATTTTATCTCTTTTTATTTTATTTTATTTTTTATTTTGGTCAATATATGGCTAAGAATTATGTGCATTTGAATGTTATATTTAATATTTATCTCCTATATAATATTATAGTTAAAAAGTTAAAATTTTAATTTATAAAAATATAATAGTGGTTAAGATTGATCGAATTTTTATTTATTTTGATTAAATGATTCAATATTCATTGCAAATTTTCTTCCACTCAAAAATATTAAATCAACCAATACACTCTTCAATGTAGACAATTTTATTAACCAACACTTACCTTTCTCTTTTCTCTCCCTTACCTTTCTCTTGTTTTCTTTGTTCAATTTAATTTTAAATTGTGTCATTCAATAAAAGAAAAAAAATGCCCGAGTTTTGGTTTTATAAAGTGAATTCAGATATAGGATTATTGCTGCGGTATCTAATATTACAACTAAGAAATTAAATTTTTAACTTATAAAAACACAACAATGATTAATATTAATCTAATTTTCATCTACTTTAATTCAATGATACTTACTAAATTCATCCCATTTTATTTTCCGCTCAAAAACATTATGTTTTTTGTATGGCCTTCAATATTAGACAACTCAACCAACACATTTTTCAATGCTAAACAACTCTATTAATCCACACTTACATCTCTCTTATATTCTCCATATTCATTTTAATTTTAAATTATATAATTACAAAAAATAAATTATTATTTAAAATATAAAAATTACATGATCAATATTTAATTTTTAATATTACAAAGTATCTCCAATATATATATATATAACAGGACAAGTTTCAATAAGTTCATCTGACGGTTTCAAATAAACTCATATAACAGTCACTAATATACCTCTCAAAACCATTTATATTGAACCGTAATTTCAGATACGGGTTACCCCTATGGTATATATGTCTCTATAATATAAAATAAAACAGACTTTAATAATCCTATTTGAAGATCTTAAATAAACTCATCCAACCAGCACTAATATTCTTCTTAAATTTTTACTATTTTTGAAAGCAAGGCTACCCCTAATATATATATATATATATATATATATATATATATATATATAT